AAAAAAAAAAAAAAAAAAAAAAAAAAAAAAAAACCATGAAACTAGAAGGGACTAGTTGGAGAGAGAAAGTGGCATTGGAAGGAGGGAAAGTAATAGGAGAAACGGGAACATGCTCAAAATAAATTCTATACATGTACAAAAGTGTCATACTCTATAACTAATATATGCTAATAAAAATACTTCCTACGATGTAACCTGGGCCCTCTGACATTAAGAGAACTCCTCAAAGGTGACCTACGCAGGTGTGATGATGTGACTGTAAAACAGCAGAAACATCGATCGTCTCCCAGAGTGGCTGATGGGTAAAGAGCATAATGGCACCCGCCCTGTACAGGGAGACGGCAGCTCTGTGAAACGGCGTAGCTTTTCCATGCCCTTGGGAGCACTTCATCTTCCACCTTGGAGAGAGCAGAACTGTGCAAGGAAGAGACAACAAACCCACTGAAGTGAAGTGGCTTCCAGCCCTGAGATCCCTGACTTACGAAAGAGAGTTAAGCTTCCTACCGACCCTTCCCAGCAGAGACTTCCAGATGTAGCCACAAGGCACAGGCCAGGCTCTGTGCCTGAACACTGTGCAATGAGGTTTGGCTGTCATGTACCAGCAAGACATGGGCATGAATCACTTCCTAAAAGTCTCGAGAGGCATGCAGACACAGTTACTGTGTGAAGGGCCCAACTGATTAACTGGGGGGGTTCTACATCTGCATTTTAATTGCTCCTCTTTGTTACAATAGACCTTGTCCTTTCTCGGTCACCACGCTTAGGTCAGGGCACACCTCACTTCTCTCCTCTTCTTCTTCCAGGACCTCCTCAGATGCAGAGTGCTGACTTCAGGAATTTTCGAGACACGATTCCAAGTTGACAAAGTGAACTTTCAGTGAGTACACTGCTAAGAGTGTGTCCCGTGACAGGAATAGTGGAGGGACGCCCAGCTTGGTGCCAGCCTCTGGACAGAATGGGAGCCACAAGGCCTTGAGGCTAAAGGGGTTGGAATGGGGATTCAGGACAGGCCGTGTGAGGCTGGACTCCAGCAAGGGCACTGAGAAACTCACCCACAAGGAGACACAGCTCCAGGAAAGGGGAGCACTGAGCAGGGCAGAGTGAGAAGGGGGGGCCAGGGTCCACCCAATGAGCTGCAGAGAAACTCAGACAGAAAACCGTTTGGGTTCTTGAATCAGACAATTGAAGAGCCTCACAGAGGGCTGTATCATCTGCCTGAATGCAAGTGACAGTCCTCCTGCCCGGTACTGGACAGACATACGTGGTGACTAGAGGGCTGTGGATGTAGCTGGATCCAGAGGAAGCCCTCCCACTTCCCCAGGGGAGACAATCTTCTGGTGCTGAGACAAGTTATCAGAAGGACCTGCCCCAGCACAGACTTAGCATGCACTTTGGTACAAGATGTGGTATGAAACTAGAAACCACTGCATCTATTAGACACCTACTATGTGCCCCTAGACACCATGCCAGCTGTTAACTCCTACAACCACAGTGTAGCATGAAAGAGGAAGAGCTGAAGCTGGGAGAGGCTGCATAACTTGTAGCTCAAGGTCAAGGGCTGAGACACATGAGGTGCATCATGAGCAGCTGACCATTCTGACCGCAGAGGAGAAGGGTAAAAAAACATGCACCCTTTACCCCAGTTTCCCTGAATAATTGGCGTCCCTGTTTCTCTTCCACAGCATGTTTGATGTTGGTGGCCAGAGGGATGAGAGAAGAAAATGGATCCAGTGCTTTAATGGTGATTTGCATGCTCCGTAGAGGGCTGGGTGCTGGCTCCCACCACGGTCTAGCTGTGCTTTAGTCAAACTCTAATCGATATGCAAAGGATAACATGGTAAACATAACATGCAAAGTGAATAACCATGTTCCTTCCTTAAATATGAATCTCATAGAGAATTTAAGCATCCCACATTTCCAGGTACCTTTTGGGTAGACCCTTGGTCAAGTTGCAGCAATGCCCAGCTGTGCATAGGACCTATATTCAAGTCATTCTAGATACAATCCCTGGGACCTGAGCCGTCATAATCCCAGAAAAGCTGCCATTGTCCATCTAAGCCGCCTCCCTCTCCCTCTGTGCCCAACCCAGACGTCACTGCCATCATTTATGTGGCAGCCTGCAGTAGCTACAACATGGTGATCCGAGAAGACAACAACACCAACAGACTGAGGGAATCGCTGGACCTGTTCGAAAGCATCTGGAATAACAGGTGATGAGTCAATTCAGACTCGCCACTGGATCCCAGACCTTTTATCAAAAGTACATTCAGAAGACTACAGATGTTTTTGTTGTTTTGTTGTTGTTACTGTTGTTGCTAAAAGTACCCACTTTAGCCAAGGCACACATCTGTCTGCCTAACATTAGGAAGGTTAAATCAAGTGGATTGGAGTTCAAGGCCAGCCTGGGCTACATAGCCTGATAAATAAAAGAGCTGTAAGTCACCATGAGCACCTGTAACCTAAAAATAGGGAGCTGGAGACATGCAGATCCCTGGGCCTCACTGGCCATCCAGCCTAGCCAAAACGACAAACTCCCGCTCAAAGGAGAGACCCTGTCTCAAATCTAAGCAGAAAATGTTGGTGGTTTTTTTCTTTTGGGGGCCCCACCACACAGCTCCCAAATAAATCACACATGGAGATTTATTCTTACTTATAAATGCCCAGCCTTAGCTTGGCTTATTTCTAGCCAGCTTTTCTTAACTTAAATTATCCCATCTGTCTTTTGCATCTGGGCTTTTACCTTTCTCTATTTCTGTATATCTTTCTTTCTTTCTTACTCCATTGCTGAGTGGCTGGCCTCTGGTCTCCTCCTCCTTCTCTGGCTACTTCTTTCTTCCTACATTTCTCTGCCTGCCAAGCCCTGCCTGTCTTTTCTCCTGCCTTGCTATTCAGTTCTTTATTAGACCATCAGGTGTTTTAGACAGGCACAGTAACACAGCTTCACAGAGTTAAACAAATGCAACATGAACAAAAGTAACATATCTTAAAATAATATTCTACAACAGAGAATGATTTTGGAAAATATTTAGATATCATCCTCTGGCTTCCACTGGTTCCTGCTCACACATGTGCACAAACACACACACACACACATGTAAATCCTAAATTTTAATAAGCCTTTCATCCCATCTGATAGACATACTTAACATGGGAAATATTCTTTGGAGATCTTATAGGTGCTTGGTTAGGACTATTTAAATCTGTTATAAAAGTCTCAGGTTATATTTTGAATTCAAAATTAGTTTTATTTGCTTATTTTGGCCTGGTGTCTCCCTACATTACCCCGGCTGGCCTTAAACTCTCAATCCTCTATTCTCAGCCTCGTGAGGTACTTGAATTACAGATATATGCCACCATGCCTGGTTGGTAAGAACCCAGTTTAGAATGTTCTCTGGTAACTAGATGGTCTCTTCAATCTGTACCACTCAAAGCTGTAGCACAGACACATGATATTCCCAGAATCCCAAGGGAGCAGACGTGATTATGTCAGGAAGGAATGTTCAACACACACACTCCCCTGCAGACTCATGCTGTTAAAAACCAGGTTCTCATTAATTATTAAGGAAAAAAAACAACACTAAGGAGTACAGAAAATAAAAGTTGACCTTGAAGATTATTTGTATGAGTCTGGAGAGATGGTTATGTAGTTAAAAGTACTAGCTGCTCTTCCAGGGGACCCTGGAAGATCCCAGTACTCTGTGCACAAATCCCTGGATCTGATCCCCAATACTGAAAAAAAAAAAGATTCTAATTTTGTCTTTATTTATAAATATGCATGAGTATAAAAAAATCTAGGCATAAAATTATAAAAACCTAATAGTAATTGTCATTTGATATAATGCATTTGATTATATGTATATTTTCTATAACTTAAGCTTGTTTGTATAGTATCTAGAAAATCTACATAAGTTAAAAAAAAAGAAGCACCTGAGGGGGAGATGGGTGGCATTTACATTTGTAGTCAGAGTCCTGTGGGCTGATCCCTGGGACCTCCTAGGATTTCAGAGGGCTTTGTTATTTGGCAGCTAACTTCCTTTTGGCTAGACTTCAGCTTTTCTTACCTCACCACCCTATTCCTGGGCTTCATTCCTTTAGCTTCTCATATCACATGAGGGGAGTCTACTTCTGCCCTCCCTCCCCATCCTCCCTCTCCTCCCCACCCCCCCCCACCCCCCCACCCCCCCGTGCTAAGAGGAGGTAAGACCAAGGAAGACTGGCTGCTAATTAAACCCCTCCTGATTGGCTAATGAGTCATTTGGTACTTGAGTAACATTTTAACTTCTCCCATTGGAGTTTTCTGGCCCATTAGACCCCAAAATTATATCACAAGAGTCCAAGTGTATTCATTACAAGCCTAGATCTCTGCTTTATTACCAATAAATGTGTACGTCCCCACAGAAGTTCATCAAGGAAAGAGTGAACTGCTGCGTTGGGGGGTGGGGTGGGGCTTTGTCACTGATGGTACAAAGAGTGCAAATAATGGTGTATCAAATGATAGTGAGTCCACTTCCGGAAGATGCCGGTGTTGGCCCACTCCCCCACCACCACCTTTTTTTTTTTTTTTTTTTTTTTTTCTCCCCCCCCCCTTTTTTTTTTTTTTTTTTTTTGCCAGTCTTGCAGAGCTGAGGGTGGAGGTGAAAGCAGGGCCTCGGACTGGGCAAGCACCCGCCACTGAGCTGCATCCTCTGAGTTTCCCTTTCAGTCTGGCAGCGTGGTTGTGATGGTGCTTTCACACGCCGGCATTGTGAAATCAGCGTGCATTTTTGTTCTCTCTAGGTGGTTGCGGACCATTTCTATCATCTTGTTCTTGAACAAGCAAGATATGCTGGCAGAAAAGGTCTTGGCAGGGAAATCAAAAATTGAAGACTATTTCCCAGAGTATGCCAATTACACTGTCCCGGAAGATGGTAAGATTTCAAAACACAGTCTCGCTTATGATTGAAAGAGTCAGCTGTTCTTTTCCCATAGTCCAGTAACTGTAAGTCTAGTGAATCTAAGAAATGGCCTCAGATTAAACCATCCTCTCTGCCCCACCCCACCCCCAAAGTACTAAGGTACAGAGTGAGTAACCCTGTCCAAATTGCACAGGACCAAAAGTGTCTGGGAGCTTAGGATTTTTTTGAATTTTGGAATGTTTGCTTATCTGGGAGATGTGACCCATATTTCATTCAAAACAAATCATTGAATGTTGGAATGTATTTGTGTGCACCTCAAATATATAGCCTGAGGATTTTGACGGGCCTGTAACATGAAGTCAGCTATAGAAGTTTCTGTCGGGGCTGGAGAGATGGCTCAGTGGTTAAGAGCACTGGCTGCTCTTCCAAAGGACCTGGGTTCAACTCCCAGTATCCACATGGTAGCTCACAACTGTCTATAATTCCAGCTCCAGGGGATCCAACACTGTCACACAGCCATATGCACCCAAAACACCAATGCATATAAAATTAAAATTAAAAAAAAAAACTTCGGACCAAGCATTGGTGGTGCACGCCTTTAATCCCAGCACTCGGGAGGCAGAGCCAGGTGGATCTCTGTGAGTTCAAGGCCAGCCTGGGCTACAGAGTGAGTTACAGGAAAGGCTCCAAAGCTACACAGAGAAACCCTGTCTCAAAAAAAAAAAAAAAAAGAAGAAGTTTGTGTCTGTGGTATAATGTCAGTATATAAGAGATTAGCAGCGGATCTCTGTGAGTTCGAGGCCAGCATGGGCTACCAAGTGAGCTCCAGGAAAGGCGCAAAGCTACACAGAGAAACCCTGTCTCGAAAAACCAAAAAAAAAAAAAAAAGAGATTAGCAGATGTGGGATATTTGAGATGTTATGTGTTCAGAATAGGGATGCTTGGTCGGTATTCAAATGTCTTACTTAGGATTCTACTTGTAAATGGTTCAGAGTTTGATTTTCTATTAAAGACGGGCCACATAAAGAAGGGCTGTTTGAGTAAGTGACTGTGTCATACCAGGTAAGTTCTCTCATACCACCAGCTGGGTCTTTTGTGACCAGCACATCATTCAAACCCCATACAGTAACCATAGGTGGTGGCTTCTGTAATTTTTTTTTTTATAGATCAGTGATTCTCAACCTGTGGGTCATGACCCCTTCAGGGCGCATATCAGATATTTATATTGAAAGTCATAACAGTAGCAAAATGACAGTTATGAAGTAGCAGTGAAATAATGTTATGGCTGGGGGTCACCACAACATGAATGGAACTATTGAGAACATGCTGAGGGTCACAGCGTGAGGAAGGTTGAGAACCACTGCCATAGGACAAGAGGTGATCAGCCTGCTCCAGACCACATAGGTAGAGCTGGGAAGACAAGACAGGCCTCCATCCCCTGGTGTCCAAACCTGTGCTGTCAGCCACTCCTGTGGCTTACATGACCCTTGGTGGCAACACTGGTGGCCCCCACTGGGTGGCCAGCTCCACCAGCCTCCTGAGATGGAGGGCCCAGTGCTAAGGCGAGGAAGGGAAAGCGGAGCTTGTCATCCATGTCCTATTTGCCCTTAGTTTTCGGTGTGTGTTAAGCCACTGGGCATTTTTAGGAGCCATTTGCTAAAGGAAAAGTAAGATCACTTCTAAAAAATGTGAGACCATGAGCTAAACAAAGCCAAACGAAAGGGATGCTTCTAGAAACTGGAGTCGGAGTTGGGCCCGCAGTTCTTACCGCTATGGAGGACAGAGAAACCTCGGACTTCTTAGCCCTTTGTGTCCCCTTTTGTCTCCTCTACCTACCATCCCAAAGTCCTGGCTTTTGTGCACTCCTAGGAAAATCCTGAGCATCACGGGACCATTCCCTGTGAGAATCAGCAGGTGCCGGGAAAGGGCCTGGGGTACAGCTCCCCTGTTCTATGGAACAGCCTCTCCTTTGCTGTAAACTCGAGCAGCCTGGGCGGCCAGAGCATGCGCTGTTACATTGTAACCAGCCCTGCCTGCCGCCACTTTGTTTCTGTTTTATGTGGCTGATTGGAATTCACTTTGTAGGCCTTGAACTCAAAGACAAATTCACACACACACACACACACACACACACACACACACACACACACACGCACGCACGCACGCACGAGCACACACACCTGGCTGCCCCTGTCTCCCCAGTACTGGGATTAAAGAAGTGCACCACCACACTCAGCTACAGGCTCTTTTGTGGTCAGAGCGTACTCAGATCTCACCTCCCGGTCTGCCTAGTTCCGTCCCAGGCTGAACCAGGGCTCTTGGAAAAGCTGAACAGGCCTGGCTGCAGTTGCCGTGGCTGGCTCTTCCATCTTCCCAGGATACTGCCTGTGTCTCACTGGCCCTAGTCCAGGCAACAGCTGAGTTCTGTGGAGCCTTCTCCAAGCATCACCTCTCCGGGTGTGGTCCTGACCTTACCCCCATCCTTTCAGTGACTCAGTTTCTGGCTTAGCCTCCATGGGGATGTGTGTGTGTGTGTGTGTGTGTGTGTGTGTGTGTGTGTGTGTGTGTGTGTGTGTGTGTTTACTTGCCTTCCCTGAGCACTTCAGTTCTGGCACAGCCATCTTTCAAAGAGCAGCAGCCCCAATGGCACCTACCTCTGCACGAGGAGATGGAGCTTCCCAGAAAAGGAACACCAAAGTGATTCATCGAGACAGCTGAAGGGACCTTGGTTCCAGCCACAGTGCCAACTCAATGACTGGTACTCACCTGGTACCATGTGTCCAGTCTGTCTGTGACCCCCAGGGCACCCATCCCTCCCTGGCATGGGTAATGACTGCTGGCAGCCTAGACTCACCATCCAGCTTGGTGATCCTCAAGTCTGACTTAGACAGCTAGAAAGTGTAGATCCATGCAGCATGGGTGCAATGCTCAGGAATTACACAGAACGAAAGAATCCAAGCCAAGAAGACTTCAGGTTGTGTAAAGTATAGGAAATGCAGAGACTGTAGTGCCAGAATCATACTTGTTCGATTGAGAATGGGAAGAATGGGGTGCAGAGGGAAATAGGGGCACTTCCGATGGTGTTGGATACATGGTTATTTTGATCACTCATTATTTTGTTCACAGTGATAATTTGATAATTATCAATAGCCAATCCATGTCAAAATGTATCAAAGTATACATTTGAAATATATATAGTTTAGAGTCTATAATTTATCCCTCAAAAAAACTAGTGCCCAGTTCCCAGCAGATGAATGACCAGAGTATGGCTAGAGGTGGAGACATCACCAAACCCTGAGGTTCCAGGGCATACTTGGGTTGATAGCCAGAGGGTCTGTCTGCTGCAGGGGACTTCCCAGAGCCCCCAACCAGAGTCTGCAGTAGCTAGAAGAGAGTCCCCCTACAAGACTGATGTTTAAAAAGCCGAGAGCATCCCAGTCAGCACAGCCTTCCTCTCTACCATAGCTTGCAATAGGAAGTAGAAGATGGAGGGGGTCTCAGCTTCTCAGGATTCAGTTAGAAGCTTTCTTGAGCAGGTATTACTTGCCCTAACCTGCTATGTTGGCTGAGTTTTCCTGTCCCACAGCTGCTCTCAAATAAACACACTGAGGCTTATATCAATTATAAATGCTCGGCCAATAGCTCAGGCTTATTCCTAACTAGCTCGTACATTTTAAGTTAACCCATATTCCTTATTTATGTTCTGCCGCATGGCGGTACCTTTGTTAGCATGGCACGTTCATCTCCTGCTCCCTCTGCATCTGGCTGGCGGCTCCTCACTCCGCCCTTCCTCTCCCAGTGTCAGGCTGTCTCTGCCCAGCTATTGGGCAATCAGCTTTTTATTAACGATGACAGCAATACATATTTACTGTGTACAAAGACTGCTCTACAGTATGTCTATTTGGGTTGCTATAACAAAATTCCTTAGGCGGGGTGACTTATAAACAACGAAAGTGTTCTGGAGGCTGAGAAATCCAGAAGCAGGACACCAGATTTGGAGTCTGGTGGGGCCAACTCTCTCTTCACTGAGTTCGGTGTCCTTAACCGGTGGAAGACATGAACAATCTCTTTCAGGTTTCTTTTATATGAGTGCTGAATCCCACTTCTCATGGCAGAGCCCTGGTAACGGAGTCATATTGGTTTAAATATTAAGGCAACTCCATGTAGTTAAAAGGGAGGTTTATTTTGTGGGGTAACTTACAAGTGAAGGGATAGGTAACAGAGTCTGGGAAAGATGTAGTGCAGTCTGGTGGTGTTCTCGGGAGAACTCTGCTCAGTCTACCTCTAGCGTCCAGGATCCAGGAACCAAGAGAGCTGGCCCATCTGGATTTTGGGTCTTCAGGGGTCCTCTATTGGCTCTGCCTTGTAGGCCTGACAGTTACCAAAGCCTCAATGGGGGTTGGAACTTCCAGATGAAAGCTGGACCGGCTACCCACTACAGAGTCATCCCACCTGTTGATGCTTCGATGAGGAAGACAATATGAGAATATACACACACTCACACCAGAAGATTATGTATCTTTTCTCAGAACTCTATGAGAATTAAAATGCTTTGAGAGAAGGAAAGGAACATTACATTTAATTTTTGCCCTGTCATACATGTATGTTAATAGCATGAGCATACACAGCCCTGTGTAGTTGACTCCTTCTGCTCTGCCAGACTTCTGTATCTTTGCTTCCTGTCAGTTAAATGAAATTTCATTTTTAATTTCAACAGCAACACCAGATGCGGGAGAAGATCCCAAAGTCACCAGAGCCAAGTTCTTTATCCGAGATCTGTTTCTGGTAAGCAGTTCTGTTGCCCTTCTGCGTTCTACCCTTGCTCTCTGCAGTTTGCTAATTATCCCTTCGAGATTCCACTGTTTCCCCAAATCCTGAGCTGAGAGAGAAGCAGTTAGCCTCTCCTGCTGGAGCACACTGGCTTGAGAGAGGATAGCTCTCTCACCCAGTTAGTTCCAGAGAGCTTCCAGGACCCCTGGAAGGGAGTAGCCAGGTGACAGGGCTACACACTTTTCATGTCTTCCAAACAGTAGCAAGTCCTCCTGCAGAGTCTAAAGTGCACACAGTCAAGCCTTGGTGTCTGTTTCCTCCATCCTAGAGCACCAGCAGGCTGACAGGAAAATGAACTTGCCCAAATTCTGCCCCTCCCCCTCCCTCAATTTGCCGTGTTTGCCATACATTTTTTTGTTGTTGTTTTTGTTTATTTAGGTTTTTTTTTTCAGGACCTTATATATATTAGCCAAGCATTATACCACTGAGCTCTATCCCAGTCCTTGATTTTTTTTGAGACAAGAGTATGTGTAGCTCAGGCTAGCCTCAAAATCACAGTGCAGCCCAGGCTGGCCACTAACTTACGTTCCTCCCACCTCTACTTCTGGGATCACAGGCCCATGGCATTAATCTTGTGCTTCCCACAGTTAACAGCAAAGAACTTTTCTCCAAGACACACCACACACACACACACACACACACACACACACACACACACACACACCAGGCAACATTCTACTGCCAGCCAAGGTCACCTGTGTGGGGAATGCAGAAGTATAACCAAGACGCAGCCCCATCACATGTGGAGACTTAAATACTTTAGTTGCATCTGGTGGCACAGGAGTTGCGTGGTGAGGCAGGGGGATGGCTATAGCTGTGGAGTTCAAGGTTGGTGTGGGCAATAGAGCAAGACCCTTGCACAAAACAGATATAAATGAATGAAAACTGAGTCAGAGATCGGCTCCTGCCCCCCTCCCTCAGTGGCCTGCACTTGTTGCAGTAGCTACCCCAACTACAGGCAGAATGTATTTCCGCTAGCAGAGTTCTGTCCACCAGGGCAGCAGAGACATGCTGGAAATTTCCATTCTGCAACTCTTAGCCTGCCTTGCTCTCTCCAAAGCCCGTCTCGGCTCCGATTCGGTGCCTGGAGCTGAGGGAAGTTTAACTCTCTCCAGGGACCTGCTCGGTACCCGAACAGTTTGTGAAAGCCGGTCAGCCCAAGCCCTCCCTGGTCCCTACATAGCGTGTCCCCCTAGGCGGTCCTCCCGTTGGACTGCACTGGGCCCCGCCGTCCTGAGCACAGCCTTTCTTCTTACAGAGGATCAGCACTGCCACGGGCGACGGCAAACATTACTGCTACCCCCACTTCACCTGTGCCGTGGACACAGAGAACATCCGCAGGGTGTTCAACGACTGTCGGGACATCATCCAGAGGATGCACCTCAAGCAGTATGAACTCTTGTGAGGGTTGCCCACCCTTCCCCGTCACCGCCGACTCTCCTCCCTCTTGGTCACCCCCAGAGGCGGTGTATCTCTCCCTAGCCTGCCTGTCTGTCTACCCCGAGCCATGGTAGGGCGTAGTGTTTAGTGTCACCGGGCTGCCCTCTCCTGTCCTGTCCTAGGTTATGCCTACATGTGACCAACAAGCCTTTGGCTACCTCTGACCCCCCCAGGTTTGGTCTCTGTAGCTTCTGTTTTTCACTGGACTAAAAACTGGCCTCCCGCCACCAATGTGTATCACTGCAAAGCTACCAACTCTCATGCAGGAGATATAGATACTGCAGTGAAGTGTCTCTGAGTGGGAACCTATTTATTCTTTGGTAGCCGATTGGGCCTAAAGGCAGCGTGGTGAATGGGGGAAATGCATCATTTTCAAGTTCTCAAGCATGATCGCAAAAACTGTCCATACAGTGCGCCATGCACTGCGGCTCTTCCTGGTTTTTCCCTTTATGAAAGGTCAGGCTGGCAGGTAGCTGCCCCTTCTGACCTGCGTTAGCCCAAGGCATAGAGTAGACCCACGCCAGCAACAGAGCAAGAGGAACTCTTTTCAGCCACTGCTGCCGTGAGCCTCGGGCATTTGGGGTAGTGTTTCTCGGAGCCTTTCACATTTAGGCAGAAACCCTGCCAATTGTAGTAGTGACTGCAAATCGTATCCTGTCTATAAACAAAGGTATCCTCTACACCTTCCTGATAGCGGGGCAGAGTCTTTCCTATCTTCCTTTTGTCGTTGCTCTCCTAGACTGTACAGACCACAAAATGTAACACTCTTTTGTATGACGACTCACGAAACCTCCGTGTAGAGTTCTGTGCCTTGGTGATGGCCACACCTGGAAGGAACTATGTCCCAGCTGCGCCAAGCAGCTTGCGGGCCACACAGCCTGCTGCGTGCTTTACAGCGGGGGGGACGGGGGGATCCTGTTCGTCCTAGGCTATTTTTATCAGGTCGGTGTTTATCGTTGACTTCAGAATCATCCACTTTACCAGCAATGCCATCCCAGCGCCGGAACTGTCGCAGCCACCTGCTTCTACTGCTCTGAACCTCAGCTGCTGCTAACACTGGGATGACCCGATTCCAAGGCATAAGTTACAATCTGCTCTTTGAGGGTACCAAGGGTTTTCTTCCCCCTGCTGCCCGCCCCCACCCTCTCCAAGATGAAATGTTTCTGATGACTCCTTCAGGTTCCCTAGGTAGGAGCAGGCCTACCATCCCTTAGTTAAGTTCTACACACAGTCCCATCGTACCAGAAACAGGTGGTGAGGGGAAAGCAAGGAGGTATCAATGTTAGAGCAGTGAGGACAATAAGGACGGCATCTTCCGAAGATGAAATACTACAAAGCTACTTACTTAGTATCTATCTGCATTGCTAGGGATGGGCCCAGCACCTAGTGCATGCTAGGCAAGCACTCTACTGCTAATCCTTATCTGCAGCCATTACTCCAGCCCCACAAAAGCCTTTATTTTAAAGACAAAATATATGGCTGTTCCTCCCACATGCAAGATCTGCAGGTGCAGCCTCGAGTTACAGTAGGACACCTAGAAAATAACGGTTGCTGCATCAATGCACTGTTCTACCCACGGCCGAGGCTTTAGGAATAGTCAGTCCTCTTAGGCTTAGAGTTATCTGTAAAGATGTCCAAAGTTGAATTTTCATCAGTCCAAATGCAGAGGAGTGACAGCCTGCATCACGTGTTCATCTCCTCATTGTTTAGAGTTTATTCCTGAAGTCGGCACTGTGTAACGCTTCATAAATGCATCCTGGTTGAGATGCTCTTCCACGGAAGGATGGCAGCCTTAGTCAGTTCAGCACATTTCCCGGCTCATCGTCACTGCCTCCCCATGCCATTCTCCACCATTGCACAAAACTTCTGAGCCCCCACGTGAAATGAAAGTGACTTTCAGTTCCCCCTGCACTTTCATAGCAAAGAAGAAAAACTTGCACGCGCACACACACACACAAGTGAAATTTTCCACTACTCCCTGCATTATTACTCAACAGTTCCCTGTTACTAAAGGACTATTTAAAAGTTTTGTAGGGGCTGAATATGTAGCTCTGATAGAGTACATGCTTAGCATGCATAAACCCTGACTCGATCAAAATAAAACATATAAATAAATAAAATGGGATCATTGAAAAAGATTGACTCCTTTAGGAAAAAAGAATATGCTTTAATCTGACAAAATTATTTACACCATTTATTTTTAAATTCAAGCATCCATGTCCTCCTCCATTTTTTCAAGCTTTAGTCATCAACAGGCACTGAATTCAGATGTGACAACATGGTCTTCGAGAGAGAAAATTAAACTAAAAATCTGGTTCCATTAGCACAGAAACACAAGAGCCTATAACAAACATGTTCCTGCACATTGAATCTGTACTTTTGAGCGTACAGCTTCACGATCTATAAGAAACTGAGACCCACTTCATAGAGGGACAGGGAAAATCCAACTTTTAGGTACACACATAGCCTCAAGTGTGCGCCAGAGCTGCTGGGCCCTTCCCTGGGGAAGCAAGGGTTGGGTGTTGTGCATGCAAGTGACCAGTGTCCATAACATTTATATACTGTACAGATGCAACCTTTGATTACACATATATTTGATAAAACAAAAGACAAATTTGTTGTAGAGCACATGTTCCATTTTTATAGCATGAGAACAGTACAGTCAACTGTTTATTCTGCAGTCACTGGCACTGACGATTCGGAATTCCCATGATGTGCGTAAGGACAACCAACATTTGCTCTCCTCCGTGGCTCACAGGAGCCCCACCGGAAGTCCTAAGTCTCTGGCTTTGATTTATATTACCACATGCAACAGTCACCGGCTCTTCATCTTCTCGTGTGCATTCTGCACAGTTTCCAACCAAGCAGGAAAGATGAAGGCAGGCGTTCAAAATGCACTAAGATGAGGATCATCAGGAAGCCACCCGCTGCGCCATACGTGATCAGCACCCTGTCCTCAAGTGGGAGGTAGCACTTGGAGAGAGCAAAGTCTCTGGATGTCAGACTGCCCTGGGGAAGAAATCGAGAAAGTTTAAGCTTCAGGGTGAGTCCCAGGCACAGCAGTCTCACTTAGAGGCTGTCTTCTAGGTTCTCTCTGGTGGGACCGGGAAGGAAGAGCCCTCTCCACCCAGGACTAAGGGGCTTCGAGCATAACAAGTCACCACCGGCCACCCAGGTGCTGACGGAAGGAAGGCGCCAAAGCTCTGCTGGTTCGGGAAGAAGGTCTGATATGCTGGCCCCTCCATTAAAATGTATCCCTCACACAGTAAGGCAGCCCTGGAGGGAGACCAAGAGGCATCAGTCCCAGAGGAACAAGAGGACAAGAGTTTCCCTGCCACCTGATAGCAGAGCAGTTACTGTCTGTCACCCAGAAGTGCCCCTGCAACTCCATAGGCTTCCCATTGTAAGCAGTTTGCAATGCGGAATCAAGGTAGCAAATGTTTTCACTTACTTGAACTTGAAAACACAAGGGGCCCCCACCTTTTTATAGATAGAACCATACATAGAAGAGTAGCATAAGACTGGGCGCAAGGACCCATGGTTACAAAGGAGGCGTTTCACTGAGTCAACACCTTTCACCAACTTGGAAATTCTGTAGTACCACGTGCCTGGCACACTTAGAAAATGAGAGATGAAGCCGGGCGGCGGTGGTGGCGCACGCCTTTAATCCCAGCACCCGGGAGGCAGAGGCAGGCGGATCTCTGTGAGTTCGAGGCCAGCCTGGTCTACAGAGTGAGATCCAGGACAGGCACCAAAACTACACAGAGAAACCAAAAGAAAAAAGAAAGAAAATGAGAGATGACCAAGTCTGTTAATGCATTGACAACTCTTTCTTTGTAAACAAACTGGGACTTGCTGGACTCTGCCTCTGCTCTCGAGATAAAATTCTGGCAGCTGTTCCTCAGAGTCCCTCTGAAGCCGTGTTCTGCCTATTTGTCCCCAGACAGGTGATTACAGACGGGTGGTGTATACAACTCCAAAGTGCAAAGTGGGCGATTTATTTCTGGCTTTTGTATGTTTTTACAGATTGCAGCCATTAAATAGTTGATTACTGTGTTGATTTCAATACTCCAGGAAGCTTTCAGATAAAAATAAAGGTTTACGTTACCATGATGAAGCTGGGGTTGTTTCTGTTCCTCCAACTGAAGGATGGGACGCTCACCTCGGGGGCTCCTCCGGGATGGAGTACCTGACAGGCGCTGTGGGTGTGGCCGCTCAGAACCAGGCGAGGCTGGAGCCACCACAGCAACTGGCAGCCAAGGAGATGAAGATGGGCAATTAGGGCTCAGACTAGCAGTGACAGCCCCATGGCTTTGCCAGGGCCACTCACTCCACTCAAATAAATGATAATCCTTAATAGGTAGGACAGGCTTCTTTTTCCTCAGATTCCCTATTCCTAGTAAACCTTTGGACCACTCCTCTACCACACACTTGTATATATCCCTTGATTTTTATACATTTGTCTCATAAACATTTTCCACAAATACATTTATATTTAAAACGTAAATTTGTATTTACATTTCATATTTATATGTTTTTGCATTTTAATATATTTCTATTAGTATAATACACGGATGCTACTGTTTATATGTACTTTTCTTAAATATACATATTTGAGAAAGTGCACTGCTAGTTAAAATCCCCCCAAATTGGACTCTAAATTTAATTTACACTCAATTCATTTAAGTCGATTTAAAAGCATTTAATGTAAATATGAGTGGAGCAGGGGCTGGCCGTTAAGAGATTAGGGGAGATGGCTCAGCAGTTAAGAGCACACTGACAGCTTCATCAGAGGACCCGGATTTAATTCCCAGCACCCACATAGCAGCTCACAACTGTCTATATAACTCTAGTTCCAGAGGATCCAACATCCTCACTCAGAAACACATGTAGGCAAAACATCAGCGCACATAAAATCTCTTAATAATAACAATAATAATAATAATAATAATAATAATAATAAGGGGCCGGATGGTGGTGGCACATGCCTTTAATCCCAGCACTCGGGAGGCCGAGCCAGGAAGATCTCTGTGAGTTCGAGGCCAGCCTGGTCTACAGAGCGAGATCCAGGACAGGCACCAATACTACACAGAGAAACCCTGTCTCAGGGAAAGAAAAAAAAAAAAAAAACTAGCCAAGAATGTAATTTTAATTGAGACTAGGAAATAGTGGATCTACCAAAGAAGAAAAAAGGAACAAAGCGATTGAGCTGAAATCTGAGAGGGTGTCAAAGCCCTCCCCTTCCTGCAGCTAGTGACCACAAAGGCCCTGGGTGTTCACTCCGCTGTCCCCACGTGACCCTGGCATGAGGTCATGTCACCACACACCTTTTGTGAGGCCTCCCGAGAAAGAACATCGTATTTCTCCTTGAAGGGGACGTTCTTCTCCTCTGGGGGTGCCGCATCGTCCCCAGAACAATTAGCATCGCTGGCCCGATAGAGCGGGTAGTGCTGTCCAAGATAAACGTGGCATCAGTGATTTTGTCAGAGGCGTGGCTGGCTGGCTGGACTGGACTTCCTCCCCCAACTCACCTGCAGCAGCACGGGGGCGGAAAAGGGGAGCCGCTGCTCACCTTCACACCGGCTGGATCCCTGCACCTGCTGGTCAGAAGTCACCCTGTTAACCCGGCAAACCCCAGTGCTTCCCCGCCGGCCAGGGAAGGGGAGCTGGGTGACTAACAGCCAGGGCGCGCGACTGGGGCACCTTGGGAAGACATGAGCGCAGAGGCCTATGCTGTTCCAAGGTCTCCTACCTCTCGCGAGCAATTCAGTTTCCGAGAAATCTCTCTGAGCTCGGCTTCCGCTTCAGAGCAGATGCTACAGCCATCCCCTTCCATCGCGACGCTGTTGACCATCACAAAACTGAGGCAGACAGGAGCAGGCAGAAGGTCAGGCCACCGGACTCACGTGTGAGCCTCTCTTCCCATTGTCCCCATGGAAACAACATTACACGTCCGTGGTGTCATGAAACAAGCCCCAAGAGCAGCTTACTCCCAGCTAAACTAATTACTAGTTAATATTGACAAAACAAAAACAGCATTAGATCCCAGATACGATGAAGCGGGGCTTGCTTCTCTTGCCCCACATCAAAGAAAGGACCAATCTGTAACTTGCAGGAAATCCTACAAGACAGAAGCCGTGGGGTCTGACTACCACTCAATCGAGCATCCAGTGGGAAGTGTGTCCTGGGGCAAGCTCCTGAGCCTGTGTCTCGCGTGTGCAGGTGGGGGGAAGACCAGGAAGCCTATGGTGAAGGGTTAGTGAAACAACAAACTCTAAAGTGGACCTCGAAGCTCACAGACACACCCGCAGCAAGGGATGCTCAGGGCCAAGTGCGCATGGGTGCTAAAGTGGGCTTCGATAACCCCTAACCGGGAGAGTAAGGTCAAGGTTGGCTAGCCTCTACCTCTGTCACATTTGTATGGACTCCCATGAAAATACGCTTTTATTTCCTGTACACATAGCACCTGGGCATGGGAAAGGTGCTTGTCAGCAAACTGCTTAAAATATAAACTGTTTTTGGTACAGGGAGCTGAGGTGGCCTGAAATCTGGTGAGCATGCATAAATTCTGAAGCGCTACTACGGTTAGGCAGACGTCACTCAGTGACATCAGTCCATGGCTATACAGAAGAGGACGGTGTTGCTGGAGAGACCACCCTCTACCCCCCCCACCCCCCTATCCCCCCACTCCCCACCCCCCGCAGGGTTATGAAAGAGGAGTTCTGATGGAAAATCCAAGATACTCCCATCACCAGCTCCTTACAGAGATGGTCTCACTGCATCACCATCCGCAGAGTTCTGGGGCCACAGAGGGACAGAACTAAAAAAGAAGAGGTTCCCTCCACTGTGTGGACTCACTCGAGCAGGGCACACAGTCTCGGAGGTTGTACTACCAACAACATAGAAAAGGTTCAGAGTGGCCCTGCTTATGGCCTCGTGGGGGTGGGGAGTATCCAGTGACCAGACTAAGGCTAGGCTGCTCTTTTAAAGGTCAAGGCTGATGAACTCAGAAGGCAGATAGAGCTATAGAAAGTGGACACACTTGGCACCAAATGCCAGGACATCATCCCTATCAGAGTGGCCCTTGTCAAATGGTACAAATACATTTGGGCCAAATGAGAAGGTGCTTCACAATGTACACAGTGGCATGCACCTACAGTTCCAGCTCAGAAGTTTGCCACAGCATGGACAACATAGCAAATCCCTGTCTGCAAAAGCAAAACAAAAAGAGCCACAGAAGCATCTCGACAAAGTGGGCTGCTGGATGCCTAACACTTGGGACAGTGCAGACAGAATGCCACGCCCACCGTAAATGGGCGGAGTCATAGACTGATATGTTCTTTGTGGGTGGGTCCAAGTTTCCCATCTGTCAATTCCCACAGTGACCATCAACAGGCACCAGGTAACACAGGACATGGGTCTGACCGTATGGCAACCACCTTTGAATAACAATGGATTTGAGCTGGGGGCACAGTTCAGTGGAAGGGTCTCAGGCTCTGGGCTTCACCCCCAGCACCTCATAAAAAAAAAAAAGTTTCATAAGAATTCATAGCTAATACTCACTTAACTCCTTTCCAAGAAAACAGCCTTTCCGAGCCGAACACTTTCTCAAATCGTTTTATTCTGTATTTACTCATCCTGTATCCAATTGTAAAAAGAAACACTTTTCAGGTCAAGCTGTCTTAGCACCGTGGAGTTACCGTGAACATGAAAAGTAACTTCGACAATCTGGCATTAGTGGTCTCAGGCAATTGAGGCTCAAAGGTCAGGTCCACTGCTTATCGTGAGGGGAGGGTGAGTTACTTAATTCCCTAGCACCTCAGTGGAGCAGTAAACAACAGGACATGAAAAAGAGAGACCTTAGTATACAGAAAGTACTTAAATGACTAGCACATAAGCATCAGAGCACACTACAGTGTGAGCTAGCAAAGGGTATGTGGACTTATAGTCTGACTTCCAAGACTGATGTTAAGTGTACATTTTCATCTAGAGCTTGAATGCAGAAGGAATACAAGTTTGAGGGCCCCCTGAACTATATAGTAAGACTGAGTCTCAAAACACAGAAACAAAAATAGCCAGGCGTGGTGATGTCTTTAATCCCATCACTTGGAAGCAGAGGCAGGTAGAGTTTGGGGTCAGCCTGGTCTACATAGTGAGTTCCAAGCCTGAGCTACACAGTGAAACCCTGTCTCAAAAAAATAATAAATAAAATGAATTAATTACATTTTAAGTTAGATTCTTGTCATGGCACATACAACTCATTCATGCCAGATATTTGTGGAGGGTGTAAATATGCCAAGATTTTTTTTTTTTAATTCCTTAAGGAGCCTCTATTTCAGAACTCCCATCTTTGAAGGAAAACGAATTTCTTCAGTAAAACACAAATACAGCAGCCGGGCGGTGGTGGCGCACACCTTTAATCCCAGCACTCGGGAGGCAGAGCCAGGCAGATCTCTGTGAGTTCGAGGCCAGCCTGGGCTACCAAGTGAGTTCCAGGAAAGGTGCAAAGCTACACAGAGAAACCCTGTCTCAAAAAACCAAAAAAAAAAAAAACAAAAAACACAAATACAGCTTTCCCCAAAGTTTTAGCAACTTTAAAATAACTAATGGCTGAGGAAACTTTCTGGGGGCTCGATTCTTCCACACACTACTTACTGATAGTGGAAGCCAACATCATGATTGCCAATGATCACCTTCAGCTGCACATGGCTGCCGTGCCTGAACATCTTCTGAAACCGCTGCACATCGTCTGCCCAGGCCTAAGGGAACAAGAGCCACAGCTGAGAGCCCCGACCCCTCTTCCCTCTGGCAAACCCAGGATCCTGTTTTGGCTGGAGAGGGCAGCCCCTCCTCCACACCAAGACAAAGTTTTTTTGTTTGGTTTGGTCTTTACAGGCAGGGTGTCTCTGTGTAGCCCTGGCTGTCCTGGAACTTGCTCTGTAGACCAGGCTGATCTTGAACCCAGAGATCCATCTACCTCTGCCTCCCAAGTGCTGGGATTAAAGGTGTGCGCCACCACTGAGAGGCCAAGTTTTAATTCTTTTTACAAGACATCTGTTAGCAGCTGTGGTAAATGCAGTAGAATTCGCTACAATTAGCTGAGGAATTTTCCA